ACATGAAAGGAATTTTAATAGCTGGGAGCATATGCTATATTAATTAGTCCATAGAATTTTCTGCTTTCATTATTTGCTCCATTTTTTTTGAGGGGTGGGGGTTGGTGTTAGTGACACAAATGCAACTGTATTCCACAAATTCTGACCAAATCACACGACCTTTTTTTAACAAGTCTCTACACAAACTTCCTTGGGAGTCAAAAGAAGCTATTCTAGACTACACAGATTTTACAAATAATAATTTAAAAAGTTAGACCCACATACTGCCTTACTAAAAAGCGCTTGATGGTTAAGAGCCTATCTCCAACTGCTCCCTCCCACCCCCACCTTCAAAAAAAGCGCGTAATAATTCAGTTGAAATCCAGTACAGTTATCGTGGTACAGGACCACCTGCTCGTAAATAATTTCTTAGCTTTGGATTACATAAATACATTTTCCCAAAGAGGCTGACATAGGACGGTTGGGGTTGGAAGGGACCATAAACATCATCTTGTACCAACCCCTCTGTGATGGCCAGATTGCTCCAAGCCTCACCCAGCCTGGCCTGGAACACTCCAGCAAAACAGATGCAATGTAGCAGCCATACCTGGTGTACTGATGAGTGTTCATCTTCAAAATCACTGCTCTGCTCGTCTGATATTTCGTAGCATGAATGGGAGGGAAAAAATAAGAAAAGTACTATTACTTCTATAATATTAAGCTTGCCTTGCGGTTGTTAATTTCAATTGCTTTTTTTTTTTCCCCCCTCTATTTATGCCCTATCACCAGTGGCTCTAGTAATTGGTTTCTTTCTCTGACTCACTCTGGCCAATCACACTATAACAAAACACAAACCAAAGTACTCCAGCACACTTTTTATCACTGTTGAAGAGTGCAGATAACCTGTTTTGTGTGCTTCATGTGCAAGGCACTTGAACATGTGCATATCTTCCAGCATGGTGTGTGCTATTTATACAGCAGACTGTGACATCCTTGGTTGGCTCAAGCAGCTTTCAAAATTGTCTCTTCAGCATTTGATTAATCCAAAAGAGGTCTATGACTTTGAGCTTCTTTGCATGAAATTGTAGAAATTTTACTTTTAGTTTTAGCCCAAGCAGGTCGGACACCTTCCTCAGCGGTCAGCCCTACCTGCTATCATCGGAGAGTTAATTAAGGGCAGTGCTTTGTCCTCTGGTGCCCCAAATAAAGGTTTCTCAGACAAATGTCAAAATAACACCAAAAAACTCCACTACAAAACTTGAGACAATAGAGCCCAATATACCTTCATTTTGTGAAGGTGGCATGGTGGCATTTTGGCCACAACAACCCCCTGCAACCCTACAGGCTGGAGACAGAGCGGCTGGACAGTACCCAGGCAGAAAGGGATCTGGGGGTACTGGAGAACATGAACATGAGCCAGCAGTGTGCCCTGCTGGCCAAGAAGGCCAAAGGCATCCTGGCCTGGATCAGGAACAGTATGGCCAGAAGGAGCACGGAGGTCATTCTTCCCCTCTACTCGGCACAGGTGAAGCCACACCTTGAGTGAGTGTCCAGTTCTGGCCCCTCAGTTTGGGAAGCATGTTGAGACACTTGAGCGTGTCCAGAGGAGGCAACAAGGCTGGTGAGGGGCTCGGAACACAATCCCTGTGAGGAATGACTGAGGGAGCCAGGGTTGTTTAGCCTGGAGAAAAGGAGACTCAGAGGTGACTTTCTGATTCTCTACAACTTCCTGAAAGGTGCCTGTAGCCAGGTGGGGGTTGGTCTCTCTCTCCAGGCAGCAATGGATACAACCAGAGGACACAGTCTCAAGCTACGGCAAGGGAAATACAGGTTGGATAGCGGGGAAAAGATTATTGCGCAAAGAGTGATAAAGTACTGGAATGGTCTGCTCAGGGGGGTGGTGGAGTCACCACGCTTGGATGTGTTTCAAAAAAGAATGGATGTGGGGCTCGGTGCCATGGTTTAGTTGAGGTGTTTGGGCATGGGTCAGAATCAATGGTCTCTCCCAACCTAGTGATTCTGTGTGATTTACTCTACTACACAGGAACATTTTCTCCCCCATCATTTATCCCAGAGAAGATATACATTTTATTGGAACATATAGCTCCTTTTCAGCAACATTTTCAGATGTCACATCTCCCGTCCAAGTAGTACCATATCTACGCTTTGGTGTAGAGACATATTTGGATTTCTATTCTGGAATTTGATTTCCAATAAAGTAACGGTATGCTACGTTTTTCTGGAGACATCCTGATTCTTTGACTAAACAGAATAATCTCCTGAATTTTGGATAGCCCATTATACATCTTCATGAGATTATTTTAGCACCTATTTTTGAATATGCCCACTGTTCTAGAAATTTGCAAAAAGCTAACAACAATCATATTTCACCACTACGTGCACGGAAGTCAGGGTTGAAATTTTTAAGATTCAATGATTATCAGACAAAACTGACAAATACCACAAAAAAACCCACTTGGATTCATTGATAAGGGGTGCTTATTTTAATCAACTTGTTATGATAGCACCATGAAATAGAATGTACTTAATCTTAAACACTTTAAATGACATTTTCTGAATCCTTATGAACATAAGTATTGATGACTTATTAGACAGTTTCTCACACAAAACCCAATGAGTATCCTAAAGGGTTTAGCATGAACCTGAATACCTTCCTTTAAGTCAAAACTCTTGGCTTAAGATAATTTGTAACAGTTTAAGAAAAAACAAACACTACCTGTGCTGCTTGCACGGTGACTATTAAGCTGCAATAGAAAAAATAAAAAAGTCAGAATAAACAAAGAAAAGCAAAATAATTTTAAGCATCATCTGTATTTCCTTTGCTATAGCCCACAACTACAAAACTATTCCATTCTCTCAGGTTTCCCCAGGTCTAACCAGAAATGCCACAAGTATCTAGTAAAACTTATCTGATCATTCACTTTTCCCCTTACTGTTGCTGCTAAAGCAAGAACATACCTGGGCCCACAGAAGAGGCTAAGACAGAGAATTTCCCTCACACTCTTTTATGGATTTGGTCCGGAAACTTGGGCAGCAATGCTTAGTAGACTTTGCACGAGGCATTACCAGAAGTGGAAAGGTAAGCCTAAACACAGCTTCTTTTTGGTCTCCATTAAATCCACCCATGTTGCCTCAGACTGAATTCCATGCCTCATGCCCTCACTCTGTGGGGTTCTGAACAGCTTCTGGGTTAACTGCCAAGGCACACCATACAGGCCATGGGCTTCACCTGACACACTGACTGGTGAGACTGCAAAGATTCTTTAATAAATCCGGCATTATTTCACAGGGAAAAAGAAAGAAACTAGAGACAAAACCAGAAAGCCCCATGAGCTGACTGCCTGAACAAAGATAAATTGATTCAATGCATGAACTGCACTGAAAACATTCTGATGAGTTCCAAAAAACACACATTCCCAACAGACAGGAATTGAAAAAAAAAAATTTTCCAGGTGTACAAGTGATGCTAAGCACTGATAAATGCCCATCCATTTTAGCCTAATACCTGGGAAAAATCTTGAAGTATCCTAAAACTCTAAAGCAGATGTTGACCTCCTCAATACTTCTGAAAAGTATATGGCAAGGCAAGATTAGGATATAATCCTATCTATCTATAAATCCATAAAGAAATATTGTTGTATGTTGGCCGTACGGTAGGATTGTAGTAATAAGTACCGTAAGTATTTCTTTCTTCCACTTTTTTACAGTTTTTCTAGATACTTTCTCCCATTCTTTTGGTCCTAGAGAAAAACAAAAAGTAACAGTATTACCACATATCATAATCCCATCTATACTGAATAACATATTATAATCTTATATATAAAATGTACATATATATTAGACTAATAATATCATAATACCATCCTGAACCTTGCTAATAACCAATGTCTTGTGTAGAATACAGCATGCAAGAGACTAAGAGTGCACACAGGAATAAATTCTTGGTACTATACCAAAGTCTACATATGATATATCATGCATTAGTGAACAAAATTCAGTATCTGTCGCACTTAAATATTCTGCAACAGCGAACACTTGAATGCTTTACTAAGTCTACACATACACCATGTAAACATTGTAACTTTAAGGAGTTCTTACCTTCAGATGTTTCATAAGTCAGGGTCTCAATGGACACCAGGATGTCGTCTTTGAAGTCACGATTATACTAAAGAAAAAAATGCATTAAATATTAGAACAAACTATCAAAGTAATATCTGTATTGTTTTTAGGACAATTTTTTCTTTTATCCTAAACATGAAATTATCAGTATGTTGCTTTATTGGCTAAAGTTAGAAGTCAGCAATCTGGAAATAGTAACTCCTAATGGAAACCGGTGTATTTTAAGCATGTGTTCAAGCCATTTAACCTAAGGCATAAGCCAGCCAGTGCCAAAACAGGGCTTCAGAGAATTTTTAAAATGCAGTTAAGTCTCTCTCTGACAGTTTCAACCAAATTTCTGCTGTAGAAACGAAAAGCAGCCCTCAGCTAAGACCAAGCGCTCATGACACATGTCATGAGCACATGGTCCGATGTGCCACTAGCCAAGAAAATCCATCTAGAGCCAGATTCAGCCCGGCGGCGGCACAAAACACCTCTCGAATGGGAAAAGCCGCATCCCGGGATGTGTCTGTGCACGGAGGACACACCTTAAACGCAGAACGTCTCCCAAGGGAGAAGGATTCACGGAGGGAGACCCCCACTTTTTGCAGTTTCATTGAAAACCCCCCCCGTCTAACGCAAGCTAATCGGAGTTAAGGACGCTGTGAAGTCAGCTCGCACTTGTGACTAAGTCGCGTATCCAGCACGGGCAGTCCCAGTTGTCCTTTTTGTGGCTGTATTCCGGGAGCCGCCTCTTGCCAGCCCTCTCCTGCCAAGGCACGGGAGCGCGCGGCCCAGCGCAGACGGCACAGCCGCTCTCAGTCCCTGCTTCCCCGCCCGGAACTCGCAGCCACCCCGGTCCCACTAATCACCTACCTGGTCTAATATCTTAGTCATGGACGCCATGAAACGCTCATTGCTGCGCCGCAGCCCCTCCTGCACCATTTTATCGAAATCCATGACGACGGACCGTTCCCGCGGCCGCCGCCGGCCGTCCCCCGCTCCGCGCACCGCGGCCGGCCGCTCCCGCCCCAATTCAAACCACCATCCCTCGCCGCCTCCGATTGGCTTGCTAAAATCAGTCCTGGCGCCGTAAACAATAGCAGCCTGCGGTGGGCGGGCTTTATATTCTGATAGGTTGCTGGCCCTTCCGAGTGCCCGATCTCCCCGCCTCCAAGGCCTGGCTTTGGGCGCCGGGGCAGCTGGGACGGGGCCGTTGTTCCGCCATTGTCTGCGGCGCGCGGCGCTGCCGGGGCCCGCGGGCCGCTGACAGGGGGAGGAGGTGCCTCAGGGCGCTCTCCGCCCCGGGCAGGCCCTGGCGGGATTTAAAGTCTTGTGTCTGGCGGATTCGGCACAGACGGCCGCAGGAGTCCGGGCTGGGGAATTTGTTGTTCAGTGGCCGGCGGTCACACCCTCCCCAGTCGCTCTCTAGCTTGTTCGCGGAGGCTGCAGGCCTCTGGGAAGGAGGGGAGCTGGCAAAGCCAAAGCGTTGCCTGCCCGCTGGCACTGGTATTTTGGATGCCATTCTGTTATTTCCCAATATTCTTTGTGAAAAACGCTAATCACTTGTTTCTGAAATTTTAAAAGTTCAATAGTAATAAAGTGGTTATAAAAATTGTAATATAATTAGAACAATAAAAATTGAACATTTGAGATTAGGACAATATGAGACAATAAAAACAAGGAGATACGGACGTCCGGGTACCTTTTTCTGGGCAACACAAGCCCGAAAAAGGACCCCCGTTAACAGAGGATTAACCCTTAAAAACAATCGCCTGTTGCATATACATACATCTCGTACATGATGCATAAATTCTATTCAAACACAGGATTCTGTCTGGTCACTGTCAACTTCTTCCTCTTAATCCTCATGCCGTCTTCTAGTCTTAAGTGAGGTGGGAAGAAGTTAGTTTTCTGCTGATAAGGGAGCAATAAATTCTCTTTCTCTAAAAGGTTTAGGTGTCCTGTGGTGAGTCCTTTCTTAAACAAATATCTTGCATAGCATAGTTTCTATTTTAACATTACGTTATAACTAAAACTATATTTAATACACTACTTAAGAAAATTAATATAGCATAACTTCCTAGCATAATACAATATTAATTTTAATACTTGCGAAAAGCCAATCATAAAATACACATTTTTCACACACTTCAACTAACCATTAGTTTTCTATAAATAAACATTTTTACAAAGTAAATTATCATCAGTGCATCATTTTCCCTGGAACCTCCCACTAAAAAAAAATTGCCATTTTGGTAAAGACAGATGCATTTTTCATAATCCCTTGCTGTTTAAAGCTATCTGTATTTACTTACTTTTTATTCAGTTGTATTAAATTTTATTTTTTTTAAACGGTAGGACTTAAGAAAAATGTGGATCTTTGATCCACGTTTAAGCATTCTTACTAGTATGGTTGTGAAGTTTTCACAGCTGACAAGATCTGCACTAAGGCCTTACCCTGTTTCTGGCAGGTCTTACCCTTCTATTTTTCAGAGTATGATGCATGAAATACTGCTCTCAGTATGTTTAAATACGCGTGTTTTAAATGTGATTTAAATCACACGTGATTTAAACATGTGTGTGCTGAGCGAGCCAGCTAAAAGAGTACTGAATTGTTGATTTCAGCATGCAGGAAAAGATGAGTGTGGTAATTCCAAAGTGACACAACAGATCCCACTCCTACATTTGTCACTGTATTTCCACCAGGATGACAAATCATCTTTAAAAACCAAGAATATCTCACTGAGGAGCACCTAATTCTATGTTCTTTATTTTCTTGATATGCACCCAGGAGTAGATCTGCAGAAGCTCTCAATGCTTTGTCATTACATTCACTTTGATGGAAGCTGTGCTTTGAATAGATCAAAACTTTATATATAAACTTCCTAAGATTTAAAAATAGGGGGAAAAGTGTAACTACCCTGAATAAATTAGAATCTCTTTTTCGCAGATTGACAAAATTGATAAGCACTCAGTAGTTTGAAGCAAGTGCCTATAATCTTTCCCATTGGTAAAATATACTACTAATTTCACTCCCTTGAATAGATGAAATATAATTTCTGTGATACTTCTAACATGGTCAAATATTGAGTTAGTTTGGAATAGTAGTAGGAATGTTATTAGTAGACAGGTAGATCTCTACATACTCAGGGCCAGCTTTACACATGATGTGCAGAGAATAAGACCTGGAGCCCCACATTTAGAGAAGGATAAAGGGAAATAACAGGTAACTAACTATTCAGTACTTCCTACTTTCAAAGTGCTAATCATATGGGGAAAAAATGCATCATTAAATCACTCGTGGGGAAAAAAAAGAAGCATCATAATATCTCTGTTTTTTCACTGGCAGGTTTAGAGTTGTCATGGCCTTCATGGTGGTCTTCTGTGGTCCCCTTGTAGTGCTTTGATAATTTAAGGTTGAAATACAGTGCACACACAGGATGAGATTAATTACTTTCCTCTGACATTTCTTATCTTAGGACACACTCACTTCACAGCCTAAATAATAGAAGTAGTCCCTGACTTATTTTATATTTGAGGTAATCATCAACCTAGGAGAAAAGGGGTGTGATCCAGTTATTTAAGTTTTATCCAGAAGTTGCTTTTGTCTGTTTTGAATTCATGGTACACTTCAGTAGAGTGACAAGAACACTCAAGCGCAAAAAATTTCTTCTACCACCTGTATGAGAAAATGAGATTGACATTCAGCAGCTGTGCGTGGACATTGTTCTAAGCCAGCAGTAACTGGTACATTTGATAAGGTGTAACCAAAAAATTTTAAACTGCATGACCTTAAGAACCACAAAGTCTACAAAGATTAGCTAATGCTTGGGTGAATTTATGTTGACTGCAAAGCAAGATTTTGGATCAAACTGTTGACAAACTAAAGAAAGTGGCACAATGTTCACTGTTTACATATTATTAAGTAAACACTGAACATTGTGCCGTTTTTTGCTAGAAAAGAGAATGTATCAATATGATACAGAAACAGGTATTTCAAGAAGAACACTTCTTTGGTGCCTGTGTAGCACCAGAACCTCATCCTCTGTTCTGTCCAAGCTCTACATCTTCTGCCTTTCTGTTGAGTAGGTTTGTGCAGAAATGTATGACAGAAGATTCAACTATCTTCAACTATCCTTTAATTAGTTTGACTTGTAGAAGAATAACTTGTGGCTCTGAGTTGGGTGTGTCATTGTTTATTCTATGGTTTACTGCTATGTGTTATTGTTTTATTCATAGTGTTTATTCATATTTGGAGAGGCCTGTGTTCTCCCCAGCTTATCATTTAGTCCAGCCTCAAGCTGTATTTTATCTCTTTAATCCATTTCTCACTTAAAAAAAAAAGTAAAAACATCTGCACTAAGTGATCATTTTTACTATTCTGCTCTGAACTCTTTCCAGTCAGTCAGTATCCTTGACTACTTAGGCATCTGGAATAATAAATAAATTTCTGAAAGCAACCTCTGAAGAACTATATAAAAGGCAATTTACACATCTATTTTCTGTAGATGTTGGTCTTCAGATACAGCCAAAACATCACATTGACTATTGAAATGACAAACTCCTCTCTCTTCAGTATTTCTTTGGGTTGGGATTCCATGCTGCTCCCTCTCTTTGTACAAGGGAGTATGAAGGCATAAAATAACTGCTCTTTTGCAGAAAACCTTGTGCAGCTCAGCTTGTGTCAAACCAGTGAATATAATTAGAAACTCAGAGACTGTAAAAAAAGAACACTGAGGAGAATGGAGGGGGGGGACTAGTTGTAGGCATGCTGTTTAGCTGTGGAGAAGGGAAGTGTGAGCATCCCAGGAAAACAGTAAAAGAGTCAGCACAGGCCAGGTTTTACAGCAGGCACTTTGTATTGTTCCCTCTGCAAAGAAGCCTTGCCTTCCCTGCTCTCTGAGAGGTGGGAGGGAAAGCACCATTTTATTCCTCCTTACTTAAGAACTCCACACAAAGTCATAAATTAGTTTTTTCACATAAGGCAGTCCCTGCATGAGTGTCTGTTACACAGAGAAATGTTTCCAACCCTTATCATAATTAAACACACCCAAGCACTCCATAACTCTGCTTATATAAAACATGAAAGAAAAGAAAACAAAAAAACAACCACACTTGGCCATCAGGAAGGCATCAAAAATCTTCTTGTCAAGTCAAAAATGTGACTTAGCTTCCAAACACAGTCCTGGGATTAATAATATTATTTCTAGAATTTCCCTACTTCTGCAAATTGTGTGCAGTCCTGCTGGAAGCACATTTGGAGCAGGCTTTAAGGCTGCACTTACTGGATCCCTTGTTTTCTGAAGGCTCTGTACTGCCCCCAGTTGTCAAGAACGTGTAATTTTGTTCGGGAGTAATTTTATTAGTTCCAGTCTAATAATTCCTCTGCCAGAATGGGACTTCACTATTTTCATTTTTTTTGGTTCTGATCTACTGGATCTGGCCAGGATGAAGCTAACTCTTCATAGCAGCCCTTTGCTGCTAAGTTTTGGGTTTGTGGCTAAAGAAGGTGATGCTGGTAAGACAGTAATTGTGTGGCTGTTGCTGAGCAGGGATTGCACACACAAGGCTTTTGCTTTCTTCCCCCACTGTGCTGCTCCTCCTCCACTCCAGTGAGTATGAGTAGGCTGGACCTATACAAGAAGTTAGGAGGAGACCAAATAAGACATCTAAACCTGAATTGAGCAAAGGGATGTTCCATGTTATACAACGTTATGCTCAGCAATAAAGCCTGGGGTAGAGGAAGAAGATAGAGGTTTTTTTTCTTTCAGGTTGGCCATTACTTGGAGACCTCTCTTATGGGAAATAGTGAGTCATTGCTTTTGCATCACTTAGTTCTCATAGGATTGTTTTCCCCCTTCTGTCACTTACTTAAGTGTCTTTATCTTGACTCCTCAGTTTTCTTACATTTTCTCTTCCTGTTTTCTCCCCTGTCCTGGGGTGCATGTGGATGCTTGGCTGCTGGCAGGACTCAACCTACAGCAGGTTATTTCTGCTGTATAACCTGGTTATTTCTTAAGCCTTCTGATCACTGAAATATGTCTGACTGCCAGCTCATTTATAAAG